AGAGGAGTTGCATGAGAATGGGCATGATCGATATCTAAATGGTATCCAGATTTTATAGTTTAGATGTAACTCTAATACCTAAATGGAATGCCAGTACAAAATTATTTATGTAGGCATGGAAGTGATATTTTATAGTAAGTTGTGCGCTCAGGGATAAGGGGCTATTGTGATCTCCCTCCTCCCCCTTGCCACTACCTTTTGTTTACGGTGGTAGGTACTGTGAAAGGATGTATCATGTATATAATTAAGTTGCCTTTTTTTTTTTTGGATGGTTAGGGGTCAGAGGCAAATTTCTTTTCAAGTGATTTTAAAAGCATATTACCCACATTAGTTTAATACATTAAAAAATTAATTTTTTTATGTACTAATCTCAAGATTTGAACTATGAAAATAGTTAACAAAATATTAAGTTGCTAATTGTTGGTTTATTAATTAATAGATAGATAAAGGAAATTTCAATTCAAATTTCATATACTGTTGGATTAGGTAAACTCTCCCATGACATGGATAACCTTGTTAGCTTTTATTTGAAATAGGAAATTTAAGTCATCTATGGCTAGATTATGATTATGTATTACTTAGGATCGAAAAAAGGAACGCATAAATCATCATTTGTGAGACTTCAAGCATGCAAAATAATTAATAATGTGAGCATGTCCTTATTAAAGTTAGGAAGAAAATAGAAAATTAAAATATTTTGACATTAATATTAAGATATTTAGTCACAGTAATTAAATATGTGTAAATCATGTCATAACTTGATTTTTACTGAGTATTTATTATACAAAGCTTCAAACAAAATTCATTTTCTATAACTTTGATTTTAAAACTTCAACGAAAATAATGTAAAATTAATTGGGTAAAAGAAATAAAGTAATTTTTTTTTTTTTTTTGGTGGAAAAAATAAACTGGACTTAGTTGCCGAGAGTTAAGACTTTGAAATTATGAATTTCAGGACCAAATTGATGAAATAAGAAGACCGGCGATTGAGTGAATGTGTTCACAGAAGATGAGGATTTAATGAAAAATCCATGAAACGGCGTCGCTTAATCTTGGCAGAATAGAACAACCCTAACTTCTCAGAACTCTCATGTTCTGTTGTCTCCGAAAATCTACTGCCTCTTCTCTCGATTCCCTTTTGATTTTATCTCAAATTCCACTTGAGTTTGGTTGAATCACGACATCAAATGCAGAGAATTTCGAAGCCAAGGTCAGCCAATCGAGGGAATTAGATAGGACCCATTGCAAGGAAGAAGAGTCTGAATTCGATTTGGAATAGAACTCAAATGCACAAAGGTATGAATTTGAATTTAGAAGGAGAAGTTATCCACATTCCTAGTTGGGTTATTGGATTTCAATTCCGAATAATATTGGATTTTATCTTTAATTGGAGATTAGGATTTGAGATTATTG